TTATGTGCTTTCGTTTTGCACCACTTCACTCTATCACCTTTTTCTTTGTTCTATATCGCTCTCCTTCATCTCAAGACTGCACTTTTCTTGATGTTATTTCTGATTATATTGACCAAGCCCTCATTCTTTATCCATCAGCCAATATTGTTGTTGTTGGTGACTTTAATGTTCATTACACTAAATGGCTTGGCTCTAGTGTCACTGACTCTGCAGGCATTAAGGCCCACAACTTTTGCCTTTCTCAATCCCTAACTCAAATAGTCAACTTTCTAACTCGCTTTCCAGACAACCCGAATCATTTACCTTCTCTACTCGACTTATGTCTTGTTTTTGATCCTAGTCAGTGCTCAGTTTCTCCACACTCACCCTTAGGCGCTTCTGATCATGGTTTGGTCTCTCTAAAACTATTATCTCATTTTTCTTTACCATCAGAATCCCCCTATCATTGTACATCTTACAACTACCTTAAAGCTGACTGGGACTCTTTCCGTGATTTTCTTCGTGATGGCCCCTGGGTAGAAATCTTTCGTCTTCCTGTTGACAAATGTGCTTCTTACATAACTTCATGGATTCAGGCTGGCATGGAATCCTTTATACCTGATATAGCCGTCAAACAGGTTGATACACTGCTCGACATCCGTATCACTCCAGCTTCTGTATCTAAAGTGATTTCCTGCTTAGACTCTTTTACAGCTTGCGACCCGGACAACATACCTGTTATAGTCTTGCAGAAGTGTTCTCCGGAGCTGTCGTTTATCCTTTCAAACTATTTAACAAGTGCTTATCAGAGTCTTGTTTTCCAGCCTGCTGGAAAGCAGCATCTGTTATCTCTATTTTCAAAAATTCTGGAGAGCGATCCGATTCATCTAACTACCGTCCCATTAGTCTTCTTCCTATCATAAGCAAGGCTTTTGAATCTTTATTTAACAAATACTTAATCTCTCATCTTGAATCTAATAACTTACTCTCTGATCATCAATATGGATTTCAATCTTCTTGTTCTACAGCTGATTTGCTAACAGTAATAACCGATAAGTTTTATTGTGCATTAGATAAAGGTGGAAAGGTTAAGGCTATTGTTCTTGATATTTCTAAAGCGTTTTATAAAGTTTGGTATGCTAGTCTTCTCCATAAACTTTTTTCGTACGATGTATCTGGTAACATCTTTAAGATTATTGAATCCTTCCTTTCCAATCGTAGTATAAAAGTTGTTCTTGATGGACAACACTCTTCTTCTTATTCTGTATCCTCAGAGGTTCCTCAAGTTTCAATCCTTGGTCCTATACTCTTTTTAATTTACATTAACGATCTTCCAGATATTCTTACATTTAAGGTGGCATTGATGATACTACCATTTATTCTTGTCACGATAAGAAGCCAACTCCCTCTGATTGCTTGCAGGGGGCATCTCAGCTTGAAAAGGATCTCACTTCTGCTACCGCATGGGGCTCTCATTGGCTGGTGAACTTTAATTCAGATAAAACTCAATTTTTTTCAGCCAATCTTTAAAGCAATAATTTAGACCTTCCTATATTTATGAACAGTAATGTACTCGATGAGTCTCCTACCCTTCATCTTCTAGGATTAACTCTTACTTCTGATTTTTCTTGGAAACCTGATATAAAATCCGTTGCAAAATTAGCATCTGCTAAAGCTGCTTCTCTTTATCGAGCTCGTCACTTTCTTACTCTGAATTCTATTCTCTATCTCTATTAATCTAAAATCCAGCCTTGTAAGGAATACTGTAGCCATATCTGGGGTGGATCTTCTAATGATGCCCTTTCTCTTTTAGACAAGGTGCAAAAACCCATTGTAAACATAGTTGTACCTGCTCTTGCAGCCAACCGTCAACCTTTGTCACATCTCCGTAATGTAGCTTCTCTTTCTCTTTTCTACAAATATTATAATGGGCATTGCTCTAAAGAGCTAGCGTCTCTTGTGCCATCTACAAACATTCATTCTCGTGTTACTCGTCATTCAATTAAGTCTCATCTTTTTTCTGTTACTGTTCCTAAGTGCTCCAAAAACTCTTATTTGTCAAGTTTTTTTCCTCAAACATCAGTTCTTTGGAATTCGCTTTCTTCATCTTGCTTTCCAGATTCATACAATTTGCAATCTTTTAAGTCGTCTGTCAATCGTTATCTTGCTCTACAATCTTTTTCTTTTCTCTTCCAGTAAATTCCAACACTAATTAGTGGTTGCTTGCAGCCTTGTTGGAAGCGAAGATGTTAAAAAAAAAAAAAAAAAATTAGGCCAAATAAAAATTGGTTCGCAAAGTAGATATGTAATATTTAAAATAATGAAAACCAAAACTTTTTTCCATCAGTCACATTTTTTCTAGAACTATAATTGTCAATAGCCTTTTTTATTGTCATTAACAAGTGCGTTTTGTGGATCTAAAAATAAACTTTATTTGTTTTGAGAGATATAAGTTTATGATTTTCAGATTCAGCAGGTTTTAAACTCCTTTGGTACCAAGTTTTAGCTTCGTAACATTACTACAAGTTTGTTAAAAGGGTAATGGTAAATTGACATATTTCCGGCTCTATCCCCCCTCTTTTTTAGTCAAAAAATAATTAACTTCAAGTTGCTGTAAATCTTTAAGGGTTGAGAATTTTTTGAAAAAATTTTACAGTCTTTCTTAACTTATATCTTTAAACATTTGTGTCAAATTTCAGCGAATTTGGTGATGCAGGGTGCAACCCCTTGTTTTTTGAGAAATTTTTACCCGAAAACAATTGAAAATTCTACGTCTTCTGTGTGCGTGTATATATATATATATATATATATATATATATATATATATATATATATATATATATATATATATATATATATATATATATATATATATATATATATATATATATATATATATATATATATATATATATATATATATATTGTATAATACAGAGGCGATTCTACAAATAAAATGAGGGGTGGGGTGAATTCCTAAAAAGTACCAACTGGTTTCTTTAAAAAAAAAAAAAAATGTTCTCAAAATGAAAATTTACCCGACTGAATTGTGTCAAATACCCGACTAGCTAACAAAATTCGTAAAAAATTTTAATTTGGCTATAACTTGAAAATCGCCTTCTTTAAGGGGCGGAACACCTCCCGTAAAATCGTCTTTCTCACTCTCTCTCTCTCTCTCTCTCTCTCTCTCTCTCTTTATATATATTTATATATATATATATATATATATATATATATATATATATATATATATATATATATATATATATATATATATATATATATATGTATATATATATATATATATATATATATATATGTATATATATATATATATATATATATATATATATATATACATATCTATATATCTATATATCTATATATATATATATATATATATATATATATATATATATATATATATATATATATATATATATATATATATATATATATATATATATATATATATATATATATATATATATATATATATATATATATATATTTTTATTATTAAATACGATGACTACTTTTGGTATCACCCATACTAAAAATTTCTGGATCCGTCACTGGTGCTGATCACTTTTCTGATCTTATCTCTGCTATCTTTTTTTTTTTCAAAATTTGAGGATATGATATAAGTAACATGGAACACTATTAAAAAATTCTAGAATATTCTAGTTCATGATTATATATAATGCCTATATATATATCATATATATGCCTTGAGCCCACTGACTGCGTTACGGCGCGCGCGGAAAATCACGTTTTTATTTATAAATAATAAAAAAATATATTACAAATATTAGTCAAATTGAAGTTAGATTAAGGACTAGTTGGACCAGCAAGGTCAAGGAACTAGTAAAGTTAAGGGGGATATTCTGATGAGCCATTAATTGGCTCTGTGAATTAAGTCAGTAATCATAGATTTCAAAACATAGTTAGACACTTAAAGTCATCGTTTTGTAAAGCGTAATAATAAACATTAAAAATTACATTGTTACAATGATTGAATAATTGTAAATTTTATTTACAAGCAACTAAATGTTATTGATACAGACTTGACAACAACAGCAATAAAAAAAGGGGTTTAGCTGTTTCTCTTCGAAAACTGATTGACTCATACGTCAAAGTTACTTAAAATTTTTAAATAACATTGTCTATGTCATTAAAAATTGTCAATATCATTAGAAATTTTAAACGACTTTGGTGTATCAGTCAATCAATTTTCAATGGAAACTACTGAATCCCTTTTTTTTTTGCTGTTATGGCAATGTCTATATCAATAGCATTTAGTTGCTAGTAAGTGAATTATTTAATTAAATGTAAAATAAATTTATTATTTTTTTTCAGATTTAAAATATTTAGTTTTTTATTTATTAAATACAACTTTTTACAATAGTATTTATATACTTATAAATTATATGTATATTAGTACTAATACTTTAAAGAGTGTTACACTTATAAGTTATACTTATATTGTTTTTTTTTTATGATATTAGTATATACTTATATTGTAATACATAATGCTGCACAATGTTCAGAATGATAGATTTAATAACATTACTGTATATAATGCTGATAATAATAAACTAATATAATTAATATATCAAACTAAATTTGATATATTAGTTATGTTAATTTATTATTGTGAGATAAATAAAAGAAATTTTAGGCAAAACCTGTACATGAAAAAAAACAAAAAACTTTAGGCACGTTCATTAATTATGTCAAATACAGTGGGAAAGGAGTGGAAAGGTTTTGTATTTAAGTATAAATTATGGAAAAGTTTTATAATAATTTACAGGAGTAAAAATAATAATTGATGTCCATAACTTTTAAAAATAAGTTTAAATATTTATTTTAAAAAAATTAACAATTATTGATTATTGTTTGGAGAGAAAAGGTTGTCAAAATTGCTAAAAAAACTGTTGATATATACATAAACTTTAGGAATGAACTCTTATAAAGATTCGGTTAATATTGTTAGTTTAATTATGTTTAATCTTATCAAAATATTTTATTATTAATATTTAATTAAAAGATATGTAGGTGATACACAATTTGTTATCATGAACAAAAACATTGATGAAACTGAAGTTTTAAAAAATGAAGAAATAGAAATAAAAGATGAGTTAAATAAGAAATTAGACACTGAAAATGGTGCAGATAAAATTACAGAAATTGAGGAAATAATATCAGAAGATGTCAAGTTGGTAAAAAATATTCATTTTATAAATTATTACTTTTTAAAGTATTTGTTGTGGCATTTTTTAGATTTATATTTAACATCGATAACCACTGGATACCAACTACTGATAAAAATTTATGCTTTTTTTCAATTCTAAAATACTCGCAAGCTATTTTATTTGGTTGGTGGTTGATTTTTAAAAAAAGTATCAGTTACTTGTGTTTTTCAAATAACATATGACTTGAATATGCTTTTAAATATTACAAACTCTCTTTTTTACAGTTAAAAGACATTTAAAGAGATTTTTATCTCGAACACATAAAATTAACACAGAAATATGTTTTAAATTTAGTTTATCTAGCAGTAAAATCTAAAATAACAGTTTAAAGAAAAATTATAATTTTTTTTTGAAATTTTTATATGATTTTATTGGAGCTGAAGTTGATGTTATGCTAAAATGAATCTACGACCAACTGCCTTAATCATTGATAATCTTACTTAGATAAACATCAAACTACATGGTTGTGGTGGTAATTATATTTCAGTGGTTAGAAAACAAAAATGATGCTAAAAATTGTAAGCAATTGATAAAGTGCTGTGTAGTGAAAACCAAACTAAATTTGTTCTTAGCCTACAAACATCTCAAGAATTGAAAGTTATCAAACTGCGTAAAAGTGAAGTTTTTTTTACCCTAATAACAGCTGAAAAAACATAAGAAGCTAAGTGCTAACAGAAAAAAGAAATGTTTAATCTAAACAAAGTAAAACTGATTAAAAGAAAACAAGAAAATAGGTTAAAAAAAGAAATGCTAAAACTATATCCTAAATTATTTAATGGGGTGATTAAATCCAAACATTATGTCAAATCAAAGAATGACATAAATTCTGTTATTCATCCTCCAAAAAAAATTATTGCTACCTTCAGAAAAAGAAAAGAAAAAAATTAGATGAAATGAAAAAATACAGAAATGTCAAAAGTAGATAAACCAACAAAATGGGTAAACTTTTTAGTTGTTGTTGGAAAACCAAATAGATAATTAAGACTATCTGGGTCCAAGAGACTTTAATAAAGCCATAAAAACAGTAAAGAGTAAGAAAAGTTAATTAAAGAGTGGGAGTTTAAACTTATAACTTGTTGTATCAACAATCACTGTATCAACAAACACTGTATCAACATTCAAATGTGTTTTTTTTTTCAACAAACACTGTATCAACAATCAAATGGAATGGCTGAGAGACAGCAAAAAACTTACTAACCAAAGCAAAAAAGTCAAATCAAGATTTGTTCTTAAGGTGAAAAACGCTCCTGATTACCACTGATGAGCTAGGTAGGTGATGGTTTTGCATCACCTTCCAAGCTCAACAGTGGAAGAAGATTGAGATCAATACTTCTAATACTACAAGTAAATTCAATCAGAAAAATTGTTGACAGCAAAAAACTACTTAGTTTTAATGTCAAAACCTTAAATGGAAACTTCATTAAAAGAAACAGAAGACATCTACTAACAACAAAAGAAGAAGATTAGGATATTGGTATATCAGATAATGGCAGCAGTAATGAAACAAGTCATGTTCATTGGTAAGAACACAAACACAAACACAAACAAGACTAAAATACAGATGGCGTTAACAATGACAGGGTCAACAAACTCCAATATAAATATCACAAGGCTGGGAACAATTTTGAGAAAATCAAAACACTGTATTGATTATAAAATAATTTTTTGTAATCTGTACGGTGTAAAAAGTGTAATGAAGTGTAAAAATTGTAATGATTAGTATACAACTGAATTTATGGCTGGATAGCTCAATTGGTTAGAGCGTCAAACAAAAAGTTAAAACCCGGGCTGTTTTATGAAACAGGTTTAAATCCTGCCATTGCCAACTCAGCGCTTGAGTAGTACTTCGGTACGCAAAAACTGAAGCTGGAGGATTATTACAAAAATAGGAAATAGCATTGCTTCTAACTTTTTTAACAAACTAATTTAAAACGTTTTGACTGTAACTATTAAATTATAAGATTTTAATACAAATCTAAATACTATTGTTCAGCTGTATGATTTGGTAATAAATTGCTTCTTATATTCTTATATTATTACCAAATCATAAAGCTGAACAATAGTATTTAGATTTGTATTAAAATCTAATAATTTGTTAATTACAGTCAAAACATTTTAAATTAGTTTGTTAAAAAAGTTAGAAGCAATGCTAAATTCTTGTTGAAAATAAAAAATATTTTTATAGATTTCAAGAAAAAGCTTTGACAATTTCAGTTATTGGTCGAAGATATTCCACCGTACCAAATCTAAAAAAAAATACCACATCTCAAGAGAATGTGAAACTTTAATTAAACAGCTTTCACCCCATCAATTAAAGTTTCCTACATATATACAAATAGTATTGCGTACTAAGGTAAGCAATCTGACATCATACTGAAATAGCCTGCTGCTGGGGGCTTCAGTACATACATTGACTGACAAATAGCCTGACTCACAGTGGAATGCTACATCGACTGAGGATTTGGGATGGGGAAGCAATCGTTTTATTCATCATTCTTCGTTTTTTCTTCTTTTTCGAAAAAAACGGTATAGCTTAAGGTAAGCAGAAAAAGTGAGCAAATGCTTATCAAAACACGCTTTAGTAAGTCTATATATACATATATATATATATATATATATATATATATATATATATATATATATATATATATATATATATATATATATATATATATATATATATATATGTGTATATATATGTATATATATATATATATATATATATATATATATATATATATATATATATATATATATATATATATATATATATATATATATATTTATATATATATATATATACAGGGGTGGGCAGGTTATTGTAGAAAAATAAAAATATTTATATCTCAAAAATGGCTTTTATTTTCAAAGTAAAACTTTTCACAATATCAAATCACATATATTTTTACTCAAAAACACTAATGAATTTTAAAGTAGCCTCCTTTGGCATCAATGACACTTCAAGCGCTCTGGAACTGACTCACAGCATCGTCACACCATGTCCGGACTAAGATTCTTCCAGATCTTCTTCAATTCATTTCGGAGGGCTGCCAAATTTGGATATGTTTTGGCTGCCTTCTTGGTCTCCATGACACTCCATATAGCAAAATCTATAGGATTAATGTCTAGGCTTGAAGGGGGCCACATATCTGGGGTCCAAAGGTGCGGAACATTTTCTTTCAAAAAGCTGACAGTTTTCTTTGCACTGTGTGCTGGTGCACTATCCTGCATAAAGGCCCATGGATTGTCCCCAAACTTCTTTTTGGCCCAAGGAATGAGGTTAGCTTTGATGAAGTCGACATAGGTCACCTGGTTGACTTTTACACCTTCAGGAACAAAAACAAGGGGAGTTTTTGACCCATCAGAGCACACACCTGCCTAAACCATGACCCCCACAGGGTGCTGTCTCTTTGGAATAGTCCTCAGTTCCAAAGGAACTGTTCTTCTGGACTTACCAAGAACTCTGTCATTATATCTGTTGGGTTCTGGTTCAACTGTGAAAATTTTTTCATCACTGTAAACGATAGGGACATCTTTGTGGTCTTTGAACCAATTTAGTAACTCTTTTGATCTTTTGCGTCTTTTGGCTCTAGTTGCCTCACTCAGAAGTTGTCTTTTTGACTTGACAAGGCTCTTCATACCCAGATCATCATGGACAACACGTTGCATAGTCCTTCGAGACACACCTGCTTCTCTAGCTAAGGATGAAATTGACCTGTTTGGGTTTTGTCGTACTTTGCAGTCAATCGAATTTCGAAGTTCTTTAGTTCTCGCATAACGATTTGGGCCTGTTTTTTTTCTTTTGTAAGTTTTTCCAGTTTTTAAGTCTTTTAAGAGTCTGTAGAAGTTGGAATTATAAAGCTGTCCCTTCACGGCTTTGCAAATTTCAACTTTTTTCACACCACGTTTCCATAGATCAAAAACAAGTTTTCTTGCATTTTCATTTTGCGTGCTGTCAAATCGTGCCATTTTTTACAACTAAATTAGTGAAAAATGGCATTTTTTAAGGATTAACTTGTTGAGCTGTGTTGCATTTTCCCGCCAAAAATGTTTTTCACTGTATATCATATTTTTTGCCGCGAACTTTTAGTTTTCATTTTTTTCTGGGATAACCTGCGCACACCTGTATTTATATATATATATATATATATATATATATATATATATATATATATATATATATATATATATATATATATATATATATATATATATATATATATAATTTGTACCTTTTATGGCTAATCTTAACTATGAATGCATTAGTTCTGCCATTAAGGTGAGAAAAGCAGCAATTGAAATCATACAGCAGAATGATTTCAATTGCTGCTTTTCTTACTTTAATGGCAGAACTAATAAACAATAAATTTATTTTCCTGTTAAATCCTTTATTCGAATTAATGGATTGGTTGGATCCATAATTATAGACAGCAGACAGCATGTACGATAATACTAGCATCTCTTTATTATTAAACGAATTCTTTTACCCTCTAGAATCTGCAGGAATGAATTTTGTAATGGTTCTTTCTGAATGGAAAGATGCAAAATTAGTAATAAATACTCAGTATGCAACAATGGCACTTACGTGCTATTGTTAATTGCACTTAATTGCAACTATCAAAGAAAATTTTTATTTATCTTAGAAAAAGTTCCTAAACTTGAGTCTTCTGGTTGAATTTATGTGTATTTCTGGCTCGAACTCAGCTGTCAAACATACTTTCAGTATTTTAACCTTGATACTAACTGATCGACATTTTAAGATGAAAGGTTCAACAATGGAAGACTGTATTATGATAGCTGGTAACAACGGAATTTTACCCACCACAAAAAAGAAGATATTTCAAGTCCCACTGTGGATATCTACTTAAGTAAGCGAAGAGTTTTTTGCCTTGATTCAGCTAATGCTAGCATTGCAACAGATGAAAATAGCAAAGAAAGCTGCAGCAGTAACGATTTGAATTCTACAT